AGCCAAAGCAGAGGCTTTAACCCACTGAGCCACCCAGGCACCCACGCCTGATGCCATTACTTCTTTTAAGATTCAATAGAATTTGCTGGTGAAGCATCTGGGCCCAAAGTTTTCTTTTAGGAAGGGTTTTAGTTGAATATTCCATTTTTGTAAATTATATAGATGTGTTCAGCCATTCTGTTTCTTCTCACATCTGTAAGCTGTCCTTTTCTTGGGTTCGTCCATTTCACTTAAATTCTCGACTTTTTGATATAAAGTTGTTAATAAAATCCCCTTTTATTTAATAAAATCCTACCTTTAATGTCACTAGGATCTGTAGCATTGTCCACTTTTTTATGCTTGATACTTTTTTAAAGGGGGAGGTGGGTAGCAGGAGATTGAGAGAAAAATTCTTAAGCAGACTCCATGCCTAGCATGGAACCCAACATGGGGCTTGATCTCACAACCCTGAAATCATGACCTAAGCCAAAATCAAGAGTCACTGCTTAACGGACTGAGCTTACAGGCAACTCTATGCTTGATGTTAATTGTGTTTTCCTTTCTTTCTTGATCGGATTTATGAATTATGATAGTCTTCAGAAAGAACTGTTATTGGCCTTTGTTAATCTTCCTGCTACCTGTTTTCTTTTTCATTAATTACTAATACTCTTTTTTATTCCTTTCTTCCTTTTACTTCCCTTGGGATTAATTTAGCATTTTTTTCCTAACTAAAGATAGATCACTGGATTACTTACTTTCAATCATTCTATTTTCCAAACATTTAAGAGTATTTAAAGCTCTACAGGTTCCTATAAGCATAACTTTAGCTCCAGGCCAGACATTTTGGTGTTGATATTTTTATTATCATTCAAGTTTAGTAAAAACTTTTTTTCCAATTTTCTATTTTTATTGCTTCCATGGTGAAGAAATATATTGCTTAATTTCCAAGTATGTGGAGATTTTCTGGTTATCTTTTTGTTTCTGATTTCTAACTTAATTGCTTTATGGTCAGAAAATACTGATCAAGAAAATGGCCTACTTCTGTAAACTCTTCATGTGAACTTGGAAAAGTTATTGAGTGTGTGTGTGTGTGTGTGTATACACACACACACACACACACACACACATATATATATACACACATATGCATTGATTAATTTTGTTGATTGTGTTCAGTCTTTTGTATTTATACTGATTTTTATTTTTTGTTGACTTCTTGTATCAATTGGTTAAAGATGTGTGTTAAAACGTCCCACCGTGAATTTATCTGTATCTCCTTATAGCTTGGCTCGTTTTTGCCTTCTGTATTCAAAAGCTGTATTATTTGGGTTGTACATTTTATTTTAAAGATTTTATTTATTTATTTAAGGAGAGTGAGTGAGCAAGGGGGAGGAACAGAGAGAATCTCAAGCAGACTCCTTGCTGAGCGCAGAGCCCAACATGGGGCTCAATCTTACAACCCTGATATCATGACCTGAGCCAAAATCAAGAGTTAAATGCTTAACTGACTGAGTCACCTAGGTGCTTCTGGGTCATACATATTAAAATTGCGATACTTTCCTACTGAATTGGATCATTACTTTTAGGTGACCTATTTATATCTAAGCAATAAATGAAATTTTACCTTAATATCTTAACTAGTAATAATATGGCTATACCATCTCCTGCTTGTTGGATTCCTCATAATATATAATTTCCTATTATTTTCTTTCAACCTATCTGTTTATGTTTTAGATCTCTTTCCAAAGAAAAGATTGTCTAAAGACAATCACTTTTAGTTGTACCATGTAGTCCATTCAAATTAAATGTGGTTACTAATATATTTAGATTTTAAATTTGTGGATGTCATTGTTTTTTTGTCCTTGTTATGAGTGTTTTTTTATTCTCATCTGTTTTTTATCTATTTGCTCAGAATGTAAGGATTCTATTGCTCTTCTTTTAGTTGTTACCCTAGAGTTTACAGCATGACTCAGCACAGCCTAATATAAATTGTTAACTTGTATTGTCTTCCCACTCAGGAACCTTCTTAATCTATGGTATCTATCTATTGATTTGTATCCAGGATCTACTACTATGGCTCTGCTTTCAAAAAACAAAAAAATGAAAAAATTAGGGCATAAAGGTTCATGTTTGTTTTTTACTTATTTAATTGTAATTGATTTCATATTTTGTTTTTATTTTTATTATAAGTATGTTATACATCCATTATCAAACTAATCAATCAGCATGCCCCCTTTATTCTCTGAACTTTCTTTTCTTCCCCTTCTTTTTGTCATATTGAACTATCATTAACAACTTGGAGTATATCCATCAGAGGTTCCTTTTCAGTATAAAAACTATATATGTGGTATTTGTGAATCTGTAAATTTATTAATAAGTGCCTATATGTATATGCATATATATACACACATACCCATTTTTTATGCAATTTATTTTTTCACCGTATCTAGGTTTGAGCCTCTCTTTTGGGGGAAAGGGGTATTTGTGTGGGTATCCTTTTTATGATCTCACTGTTTTCTAAAGATCGATGCAGCTGCAACTTTATGCTAAGAAAAAGAATAAAGGTTATCTTAAATCTGTGTGCATATAGTAGATTCTTAATAAATGCTGAATTGAACAAAACAAAAATCTGTAAAATATTGCCACGTAGAAATCTACTTAGATTCTTCCCTTTATTTAGATTTTGTGCTATTAATGATACTGAAGCTATTAACTTTTTTAACAACTAGCAACCATTACTGTGCCGTTCATGCACTGCCCCAGCATCCTTGTGCAAGGAGATCTGTAGGTTAAACTTCCTGCCATGGCATGATTTGGATCATTAGGAAGTCCATATAACATGTCTCCAAATGTGAAATCGCCCTCCAAAAAGTTCAGCTAGAAGTTGTACTGTGGAAGCTAGGAGTCAGAAATGGACCAATGTTTATGTATAAATTTAGAATAGCATAGAAAAAGGCATGAGGAAGGAGTGGGGAAAATATCAATTATTCATTTTGTTGACGTCAAGGTGCTGGACTGGGGAAATCTTCCATAAGTGCTACCAAATCCAGAAATCAGCCAGGGAAAACATTGATAAATTTGGTCATGTAAAATACATAATTTTATATTTAAAAATGTATAAACCACACAAAAAAGACAAGAAAGTAACACATTTGGGAAAGCACTGTAACAAATATGACAAAGGATTGATTTCTTTAGTATCCAAAGAGATATTTTAAATCACTGAGGAAAAAGTCAAGCAAAAACAGCTCAAGGCACAATAGGCAAATCGTAACTGCTTTCCATTTTCCGAGTTTTTACAATGTGCTAAAAACAGAATGTGCTAGTTATCTTACTTGCAAGTTCTTGTTTAATTCTGGCAGAACTCTATGATAGAGATATTACTATTATTATACACATTTTGCAGAGCAGAAATGTTGGTGCAGATCGATTAAATCACTTTCCTGTAGCTAATTAGAGATGGAGCCTGAACTCAATCCAATGTCAGTTTGCTTAAAATTCCATTTTCTTAAGCACTTTCCCAAACAGTGGCACCTCACAAAGAAACAAACTAGAATCACTTGAGAAACAAATTACATGCATATTAAAAGTGTTTAAATTTGCTTGTAATTTTAAAAACTGAGAAATTAAAAACACACATACCTCTCTGTGGGTAAAGATTAAAAACACTGATAATAGTCTATTACAAGAGGGTGAGGTGACTGGGTTTTTCTTAGACTCTTCATGGAATTGTGGTTATTTACAAAACAAGACGAAAATCTCTCTCGGCCTCAATTTGCTCATGTGTAAAATGGGGATAATCTTTACTTAGAAGAATTATGATGACCATCACAATTATGATGTAAAAAATACTAGCACAATGGCACATATTAAGTGCCCAACAGCTTTTATATGTTTAGTCCCCCACTGCATGTACACACACACACACACACGCACCCCACCAGAAAACAAAAACAAAGAGACAAATCTCTTTGTATTCCTAGCACAAGGCTGAAGGGTCAATGTCAGTGAAGCTACACCATGTAAGCGAAGCTGAAGACCAGGAAAAAGAAGGACCCTAGGCTCTCACGGGCTCTCCGCAGGACGTGGGATTTCCAGATCATCTTCTAGGATCGTGCAAGGATTTCCACTGTTTGTTCAGTTCTGCATCCCGTGTTCTAGATATCCATTTGCACACAAGTCAGAGGCGGCAATGGATATGCTGAAGGAGCCAGGGGCCCCGTGAAAATAATGTGTGGTCACATAAGCTGTGTTCCCTCTGGATTGGGGGCATAAGGGTTTATAATTACATACCTCAAGCCTGTTTCCCTGGTAACCTTCTAGAGCCAACGAGTCTAAAAATTCTAAAAATAAGTAATTAAAAAAAACACAAAAGTTGGGGTGGGTGCCTGGGTGGCTCAGTCAGTTTAGTGTCAGACTCTTGATTTTGGCTCAGGTCATGATCTCAGGGTCATGAGATCGAGTCCTGCGTGGGGCTCTGTGCTGAGCGTGGAGCTTGCTTGAGATTCTCTCCCTCTCCTTCTGCTCGTCCGCCTCCCCCCAACTTGTGTCCTCTCTCTCTCAAAAAGAAAAAAAAAGAAAACAAAGCAAACCAAAAGCACCAGGACACCCTTAATAATATCCTCCCTTTTTTCTAAATATTTACTGGCAACCGTGTCTTCACTGAGAGAATTGTTACTTTGATGTGACCTCACTGATCTCTCGTTTTGAAGATCTCCATGCACGGAGCCATCATGACCTTCATTGCTGGCGGGAGCCGAGTCTTCCCTTAAAGACTGTCGGCTCCAGGAGGGCAGAGGACTCTGACATGTTGGCTGGAGGTTGGTCTTGGTTGGCTTCCCCTCAGGACCTCAGTGATGTTTTTGCCATCCCCAGCTTGGCAGACCTTCCTCTCCAGGTTTTAGAGAGATTTCTCCAGTAGACCTTTCTCATTTGTGTAACTAAGAAATAAACATGGCAAGATGACTATGTAGCCGCTTTAGAGCATCAGAGAAAGTGACAGTGATGTGCTTTGTCTGCAGCACGTTTAACTGGACGGTCCCGTTCCTCTCATTCCTGGCCTGTCTGATCCTGGCAGTGGCCACCATCATTTTGTATTTTATTCCACTCCGCTACATCGTTTTAATCTGGGGTAAGTCTTGCATGGTCCTTTCGCTTGCGGTCAATTTCAGGTAAGAACCCATGACTCATTTGTCGAGTGGGACCATAAACTTTAAATGTGCTCTTGTTAGCAATTAAACATGAGATTAAGGAAGGAATTTTGGGAACAAAAACTTCCAGGACCTCCCTGAAAAGGCCAGTCGCCCAAACGATCAGCAGAGATATTTATAGTTCTCTTGTATAATTGCAATCAAATAAAAATGTGATTGTGCATGAGATTTCCCTTTGGGCTTTCGTAGTCATAAATAGTCTCGAATAATATATTGCGGTGGCCCGGTAACTTTCAGGCAACCCTGTTATTCAAACAGTGAGCAAACACCTGCATCTCGCCCTTTATATTACGTAAAAGTGGATCTGGCCCCTGCCAGGGTGCTTCTGACATTCCATCTCTCCTGGAGGAAAAGTAATCTAACCCCATACTTCAATCCAGAAGCGGTAGAGAGGAAGGGAGGTGGTTACTCCCTACCCAATGCCTAAAAGAAGAGGAAGCCATAATTTAGCAGGGTAAATGATGTGCCTATATAAAGTTTAGCTGCTTAAAAAAAAAAAAAAAGTAGTAACAAAAATCACAAACTCGAAATAAATGGCATGACTTGATTTACTACTCAAGTTAGCATTTGGACGAAAGACCAGCAGCTTTGTGAATATTTGTGTCTGCTGTTGGGTGGGCTTCTGGGTTGATAGAAGGAGCGTGCATTGTAGTGAATTAATTGCTGGAGAAGCAGTCAACTCTTTTCCCTAAGAGTCTGCCAGTCATAGTTTTCCATTCCTTGGCTCCTGTGACTATTGCTGAATTCTCAACCGTAGCCATACTTCTAGGGACCCTCAGATGGTAAGGGGTTCAGAGAAGTTACCACGTACAAGTGATTGCATTAAGATACATTCATCTTTAAGTAAAAGCTGAGAGCTTGCAAATGTCAGAAACAAGGTACAACCTTTCAAAAACCATTAAATGTAGACCTTTTCAGAGAGAACCCACAGGAGTAGAATCCTGCTGATGAGAAAAGCCAAGTGTAGACATTGTGAATTGGGAAAAGTCATAAAAAAAAATTGAGTAATTCGTAAAACTTAAGAAGTAGAATGATTTTGAAAGAGCATAAGGCACTGGTTCTGTTTCATCCAGGAAGTGAAAATCCCATATAAATAAGTATCTCTCTTTTATAGTAAGAGAGAGAGCCTGAGAAAAGAAAAAGATATTCTAATTTGAAAGAATTAAAAGAATTAAAAGAAAAAGATACTCTTGATGACCCTTACTCTTGGCAAAAGTCTCTTATCCATACTTAGTTTCTTACTTACATACTTACTTCTATCCATAGTTAGTTTCTCTATTCTGCAACAATGCTAGCCTTGATCTGTAGACTCTAAGAGAACATGAAGCTCTTCGGGGTCCATTGATCAAGAAGAAACATTTTATGGGGTGCCTGGGTGGCTTAGTAGGTTAAGCCTCTGCCTTCAGCTCAGGTTATGATCTCAGGGTTTTGGGATCGAGCCCCGCATCGGGCTCTCTGCTCAGTGGGGAGCCTGCTTCCCTCTCTCTCTCTCTCTCTCTCTCTCTCTCTCTCTCCCCCTCCCTCTGCCTGCCTCTCTGCCTGCTTGTGCTCTCTCTCTCTGTCAAATAAATAAATAAAATCTTTTAAAAAACGCACACACAAATGTTTAAAAAAAGAAGAAGAAACATTTTATAAAAGTATTTCCTTGAATGCCTTATATGTACTAAATGTTATCTATATAGACTGAATAACCTCAGTCTTTCTTAATTGTTTTTCATTAAGAATTAGTTTGCAAATCCATTTACTGGTCACATTTAAAAAACAGATTTTAAAGCTGTTGTCTGACCCTAACCAGAAAATGATTCAAAATTACTATAATCATTTGGCCAATATTTTGTTCATTTTTAAGCTGGCATAAGTCGGTTGCATGGTCAGCTTGTCAAACACATTCTTAGGATCTTATCATTCTGGTACATACATGACTTGCTTTTCTGCATCTTTCCCTCGACAAAAGGGTCTATACTCTATTTCCTCCTTTGATCATCAGTGTTGGAATTCCAGTCCCTCTTTCTGTTTATCCCAAATTGCTTTGACTTTTGATCTTATCCTCCAAGATCTTGGCAGCTTTCCAACAACAACTTTTTGCATCTCATTAATGAGATATTGCTCTATTTATTGTTCCGCTTATGAATGAAATTATTAAATAGCATGGAGTTTATTATATTCTCCTGAGCTGACCATAACCCTTTGAGCTTTGTCTTCTGTGTCTGGTTCTTTAGTTGTATGTTCTGGGCAGGGGGTTATAGTTTATTGATGAGCTCATCATATATATTGTAGTCAAAAGCCTTGACAATAAGAATATGCTCTGTTGCCTCACTGAGTAAAACCTGCCATGCCATCCTGGAATGTACTCAGCAATTCTATTAGGACTTCCTTTCCAAGATGAATTTGTTATTAGCTACATGGACCCAGGACATTCCTTTGCACGTCTCCTATATGACTGAATTCTTGGTAGAGATTCTCTCCTGTAGAAGACTTCTTATGTCTTCCATTTCTATGGTTCCTTTTACCAGAAAATCATTTCTATTCTGAGTTACTTAATCATTTTCTTTGAGTCCTTAAAGTGGTGAGTTAAGATCCTAAATTTTTTTCCCCTTTTGTCCACCTCTTTTAACCCTTTGAAACAACATTACTTAACCATATGTTCTATATTTCCAGATCCTATTCCTCCAAATAATATTTTTGTAGAAATACTTACTAAGTACCAGGATTATTTAACATAAGCCCCTGAAAAGCAGCCTGATTTCGTAGTGGCCATAAGAAATATTCCTTGACTCATCAACTTCGTTGTAAGGTTTTGAAGGGTGAGGCATTTTTCTTTCCTCTTCAGCTTGTAATTCCCAGGGAAGTTACATATAGGTAGTAGATCTTTAACCAGTACCTGACAAATATTTCATGTGTCTGCATATTTCATACCTGCGATTTACAGGGATGGCATTTCTTTTGAGCCCACCCCCCCCACCTCTCTTGTGTGGGAGTGTAGATTTCGAAAATGGCATGAAAAGTGGCTTAAGAGGGATATTTGACATTTTCTGAAGGAAACAGTATCTACTGAATTTTGATCACCATTTTGGTGTATTTCTAGAGGGCAAGGCACTTCTTAGGATTGGATCCCATGTGGGTTTTCTGCCCCTTTTGAGAGGTTTCCCATATTTTCATTCTGTTCTTCACCATAGATGCTTCTGATCTGGGGTACTTCTGTCATTCCAAAGTACATAAGAACTCCCGGATCTAGATTTTGAACTTCTTGAAAAGAAGACCCATGACTTATTAAACTTCGCATCTCCATTTGATAACACAGTGTCTTTTATGTGGGAGGCACTTACTGTTTGATACATGAGCAAGCAAGGACCCTCCACCCCATCTCAACACTCCCACCAATGTACTGAGTCAGGGCTGCATGCTAGGCACTCATACAAGTATTTGAAAAATAGTGTTATAATTCTGTTTCAAGTGGTTTTATTCACCTGTGGCCATATGTGCCAAGCAGTCAGGCAATTTTTCCAACTATCACCAAGAGAATTTTTTTTTTTTCTTTTTTACTGGATATTGCTCAATCCACTCCACTGATCGCTTCAGTCTGTGATCTGGGACCATTAAATGATAGTGTCTTTGCCACATGTTATCCTTTGGTATTTGGATCCTACTCCTTTGGGTGTGCTAAAGCATTAAGATTCACAGTAGATAGGCCCTCTGCCTATCTGTATTAAGGTTAAACACATCTAAAGGCTTGTCTGTCATGCTGATAAAGGTACAATTTCCAAATCTGGGTGTGTGTGCTCACATGCCTAATAATATAATCCCTTTGTTTTTTGGCTTGTTGACATCTCGAGTCATGATGGTAGCCCCCCTCTTTGTTCTGGAACTCCAGATTAGAGAATCCTTGTGCCTACGGTGTCCAATGTGATTCTCCCATCCACCTAAGAAACTATATAGGGCAGGTCTTTATTCTTCAGATTTTAATGTAAGAAATCTAAGGCACAGGAAGGTCAAGTGGTTTTCTTGAAACCACACAGCAGATGCCTGGTGACGCCAGAGCCGGGGCCCAGCTACTCCCATTCCGTAGCCCTTGCTCCTGGCCCCATTACTCCTTACTGTGGACCCAAGAATACATGAGCCCCTGTGAACACTTGGTCTCATACAACAGATAATATTATAGAATTACGGACATTTGACAACATAAAAAAGAAATAAGGTGCGCTTTTGAAGCATGCAGTCGGAGCGCCTTGTAATTTTGATTCTCACGAAGTTTTTCAAACAGTCTCAGTGCATTGTGGGCAATTTCTGCCCTTATTGGTGCATTTGAGCTACTGCGCAGGTTTATAATCTTCTCAGTGACTAAGAATGCAGTGTTTTGACCGGCTGTGAGATTATCCCTTCCTTGCTGTTCATTGTAAAGACTCCAGATGCTTACATTATATATAATTAACAATAGAAGATATATCTTTTCCCAATAAGTCTTTGTCTCCCTTCATCATTTTGCCTTGTCTGTTTTCTTTTGCCAAAAACCCATGCTACAATTAATTGTCTTTAGAATAACACAGTGAGAGTATTCTAGTTTAAAGGAATGCTGGGGGAGATTTTAGCTAGAAACATGAGGCTTGCTGTGGGGGGTAGAGGGAAGAAAGGCAGAGTGCAGCTCTGACTTGAGAGAAAAAGGATCATTTGCAAGGAGTCTTCCCCAGCCCAACCACCAGGCCACCATTTTACTCATGGACAATGGCCGGCTCCCATTTGCAAAGCAGATGTGAATGTGACTGTCTAAGGAAATGACTGAGGTTGGTATGTGTCAGGTAGAATGGTACTCAGGAAATTCTATCTGTAGATGAAAGCAAAATAATATTTCATGGAGAAAAACATCAAAGCTTTTATGGGCTGGGGACGGTCAAACAGTTAACTGTTACCTTGGCTCTGAAGGAAAAGTCCGGAAGGGTTATCTAAGGTGAGAAGTCATTCAGCATTACTGGGATCGACTCGGGCTTCAGATATGATCCTCGCTAAACAAGCACTCCGTGGCAAACTTCGGAAGCCCACCACCTTAGTCTTTATGCTTGGAAAACTCAGCATGAGAAAGAGTTGGCCTTTGGTGGAAAGACAATGGCTCCTGAGCTCTTACCAGCAGCTCAGGGGAACAGAAGAGGAGATACAATGGTGGCTCAGAGGTACATCCCTCTAGAGAGGAAGCCACAGGTAGAGCTTTCCTGGGGCGTGCCTGCAAACCCAAGGTACAGCCATCAAAGACACCTGAAGGGTTGAACCTCCTCTAATTACCACTGTCCCCATCCTAAATTAGCAGGGACTCCATTGACTAGACAAACCCAAGCACCAGTGTCACAGTCCATAAATTAAGTTAGTAGCCATAGTAAGATAATTTCCAATAATAACTTTTCACAGTTTCCTGCAGCATCAAAGTACAATCAACATGTCAAGTTCTGTTCTGCAGGGAGAAAAGATAAACCTGTGAAAATGAGCTGGAGTGGGGGAGAGAAATTTCTGCCATTTCTTTTTAACGACAAAAAAGCAACTCCCGTCCTCCACCTCCCACTGCTAGATTTGGTCCAGAGCCCCCAAGCAGAGACTTGTTGGGGCTAATGAAGGCCTTTCCCATCTGGGACGTTTGTTTTCCTAGCAGAGAAGGCTGTTAATCAGTGTAGTCCAAAAAAGCCAATGAGCTCCACAGTTTTAGTGTGTGTTTCTGCCACCTTGCTGCTGGGATTGTAATGGGATTTTCACAGTTGAAGAAGGCAGAGCTCCTGTCCCACAAACCACCCCCCACCCCTCCTTCCTTCCAGAAAAGGCATTTGTGAATGATTCCACATGACAGCGACATGTATGTGTGTGTGTGACTTGAGGTCTAGTAATTGTTTTACACTAATTTTTACTTGTGAATCTCCCTCTCCCCCAGTCAGGAGAGTTTTTAAAGATAGATAGATAGGTAGATAGAAAGACAAACAAAGAGATCTCCCTGCATTTCTATTTTCCAGGCATAAATAAATTCACCAAGAAGCTTCGAAATCCCTATGCCATCGACAATAATGAGCTGCTAGACTTCCTCTCCAGGGTACCGTCTGATGTTCAAAAGGTACGTAATGAACGGTCACCACCAACGGGGACCCCAGCACTGAAGTCTGGCCAGCCCCAGAGCCAGAGGTGCACAGAGCAGGGCTTGTGTAATTGAGATAACGAATCAGAAAATCCTTAAAGTGGCCTAGTTTGCAGGGAGGTGGCAGGAAAACCTTTGTCTGGAGCATGAGATGATTATGGAAAATTACCCCGAAAAAAAGGGCTACTTAAGAATGATCTGGAACTCATACTGCGTGGGTATAGTGAGATAGTGTTTGTCCGTTTTTTGATCGCTTGCCTCCCTGAAGAGGATAAGATGGGCTCAGTGAGTGGGAGAGTGGGAGATCCCAAGCTAGGGGAGGATTGCTTATTTTCCTCCTCTTCCAGATGGCAGGCATTATAGGGGAAGTAGGGGACAAGAGGATTATTCTTTTTTATTCTTGTTTGCCCCAATTACGTCCTAGGCTTCCCTTCTATCCCTTCCCCTCTGAAGATTTAGGGATGCCGAGGGCAAAGCTCCCACCCCCTTTCATACACATAGAGGCAGAGACAGCCTGAAATAATTGGAGATCGATCAGAAGTATTATTCACAGGTGATGGTCACTGAGTCCAGCCACATCTGGTCTCTGTGGATGCACCGAGATTAAACCAGGCAACAATGCCAGAAAGTCCTGTAGAGTAGCCCGAGCCAGGCCCCTGCGGATCAGGCAGCTATAAATCCCAGGGGAAGGAGGACAGGCAATGATTTCTCTAAAGGAGAATAGAGATCAGAGAAGGAGTAGATGGGGAGACCGTGGTGTGAAATAGCAGCATGATGATCAAAGACACAGCCCTTTATTATCTCAGAGAATCCAAATCAAGTATCGATTTTCAGCCTTGGACCACTGTCACGGAAGTGGTTCCCAGCACTCCTCTGCAGATGGCAGGGACTCGGGGCTGAAAAGACCTCCAGTTTCCTTCCCCTTCCCTCTGAGTTCTAGAGATGAAAATAGACTCTATGACGCCGTTTTTCTTTAACCTCCATTTTATGATCTAATTAGCTATTACATGCATTCTATGACTATGAGGTTCCTCATTAACATTTGCATTCCATGATTATAAAATAGTAACCTGGCCCCTGTTTGTTTTGCGTTGAAAATTGACAGGTATGTCCTCCCCTGCTCCCCAAGGGGACCTTCACCAAACACTCAAAGGTGAGGGTGCTTTTTTAGCATGTATCTGCTTTTGATGAAGTGTAGCTCAACATATGTGATGGGGCATGGTGTCCTTGGGGAGTTCAGCACAAATGCTAAAAGCCAGTGAGCACATGTGCTCTGTAATACTATACTTTAAATGAAGCCATTCCGCCGTCAGCCAATCAGAACCTGCACAGCAAGGCAGTGAGATTGAGTTGCAACCCTTGAGTTGCAATGTGAGGTTGTCCCCACGTCCTCAAAGAAAGGAAATCACCATCCAGCACAGCCACCACCAGGACTGTGTCTACATCGTCCAGGCACCAGCCCTCGGAGCTGCCATCCGGCTGGAGCTGACACGCATACAGAGTGACGTTACAAAAGAACATTCGAGGAAGATAGACAGTATGCTAGTAAGATCCTCCGTGTATCACCAAGAACACTTCCAAATAACACAATAGACAGCTTACCCCTGGGGACTCCCCGAGTGCTCAGATATATCACAGATGTTTTAGCCATTACATTGTAAATGCAATTCATTTTTAAGAGAAATCTATTTAACTCTGTGGCCAGTATCAATTTCAACATTTTTCTCCCTCTCCTGGCAACATAAATGTATATAATTTGCAGACAATTTTTTCCCCAAGACCTGAGATAATTTTAATTGAATATTTCTTGGTAAGTTTTGCTGTATCATATACTAAGAGAAACATTTCCCAAGACGCAGTTATTAAGCGTCCTTGTGGTTGAAAACGGGCACACGAGAAACTAAAATTATCTGGCAGTGCCGAGAGCAGGTAGAAAGCCATGTATCTCATTAGAAAAATCTGCTTTTAATATTCTTGGTCTCAAGAAATGATGCATGACTTCTCAAATCCTTCCTGCAATTAATCCCTCCGTGTTCCTGTGTTTAGAAAATGATTCATTACCTTTGAACCTTCCTTCCTTTGCCTCGGTTTGTCCTTGGGGAGCCATTAACACACACTGTGGTGAGCTAGGGTTACCTAACCGCCGGGGCCGTCTGTTTGTTTTCACAGGTGCAGTACGCAGAATTGAAACCCTGCAGCAGCCAGAGCCCCCTTCGGAAGAAGCGCAGTGCTCTCTAGGACTCAGGCCAACCTTGGACACCAGCGCCCGATTCCCTGTTGGGTTGATTAGACCAACACTATCTCTGTTTCCGAGGTGGTACCCGTGGTGTCATTCTGGAATGCGTGCTGCGTGGAGCCCTCCCTGTGCCCTCCCTGCTTCTCCACGTGCACCCATGCACACACACGTGCTCACACCCACACGCATGGGTGTGCTAGTTGCTTAGAAGCTTGGCCCATCCCAAGGAAACAATCTAGGGACCGTGAAAGACTGAGGTCCCTTCTCAGATAGGAGGTAAAGCAAGGTGGCCAGGGGTCTGAATGGCCTCTTTGAGAAGGGCTGGGGGACCACCTGGATGCAAGAGTGACCCTGAACTTGTTTTCCTACCTCCAACAGATGCTCCTTAAGATTCAGTTATTTTTCACTCCTGTTTCACACACTCCTTTCTGATTATTGTGCATGTGAGTCAGTTTCCTTCTCTGAGTCCACAAGTCTGATAGTAACCATCATCTCCCCAACTAATGTCTCTTAGAAGTAGATTTTTTAATAATTACCAGGCGTAGCCCGAACCTTTGGGCGTCCTTCCACCATGATTACTGAAGACATGTGTACAATGGCGGTCAGCTCCCCGGTGCTGGACACCAGCCTGTGGTGTAGTCCTTTGCGGGCAGTGGAAGCCCCGGGAAGGTCGGAAGGGACCACTCATCCAAAAAGTGAAGCTTTCGTGGGAGTATTTGGTTGCCTTACAAACGCCATGTCTTCCGACTTGACTTTGCTTATTTCCAAAATAAAATGTTGACATTAGCGCTTGAGAGAGAGGATGAATGAACGGATTCTGAGAGTATTTAGGAAAACGGATGAAGGCGGAGGAGCAAGGGACTAATGACTATGGCTTCTTCACCTGATTGTCATAATCACTATATTTGCCCGAATTTCTGAGCAGAAAGTAAAATTAACTCAGCCATCCAAATCGATCTTTTGTTTCTGAACAAGATAGGCTAGACATAATGCATCTATATCTCAGAACCCCATTTCTAGAAAAACGCCACCCCAAGATCCTCTTGAAGAATAGCTGATTCCTGCAGACCCCACCATTCATAATACCCCCCCAAGGAAAAACCCCGATTTTATGCATATATAAAATGCACACAAATATCCTTTGGTTCAAATGATATTTAAGTTGTAAAGACTGTATTTTGTTGACATATACTTTGTGTTTTATATATATAATATATGTATGTGTGTGTATACTGTAAAGAAAAGTTGAGGTAAAAACTGATTTAAAAGCAAGGTTTACTATTTTTTTTTCTCTCTGCATTGTAATTTAATAATCTTCAAACAAAATGTTTATGAAAAATGCACAATATTCTAAACCTTATCATCCCGTGTCTGTTTTTCTTCATATTCTATCTTCCTGGGTTTCTTTCTGGCTGAGCCAGATTTCTGCATGATTTGATTTGCTTCAAGTTAATGAAGCTGGCTGGAAAAGGACTTGCAGAAATTATAAAAGCTCCAGTAAATCTCTTCGTTGTACATACAATAGATAGCCAAGAACCTCTTTTGTTCAACCAGTTACTCAATCTTCTGTGTAAACAATGCCTCATTGTCTCACTCCCAACTATCATGTAGTTTATCACAGTCTGTCATTTTGTAACGACCTAAGTCAGACATTTTTAAACAGACATGTGAGATCTGATCAGTCATTTGAATGAAAACTTTCAGCAGCAAAATAACCCCTTATTTAAAAGTGGAACCGATACTTCATTGTTGTTCTTTTGCTATACAATTTCAAAATGAAATAATTTGTCCAACAAGAAGGCATCATTAGTTAGACTTATTCCCTCTGCCGCCCAGTGGGAATTCTGAGCATTAAGTTGAGGACACAGACGGCAGCTGGGCTACCAAGAGCAGGACGGAATCAACCTGTAATAAACTGTAAGTAGAAAACAATTGTTAATTGATTAAGTCGACTTTGAACATTAAAAACGTTCATTGTAAGGGAAATGTGAAGATTTGTACAAGTGATCAAACCCCTACCAGATTCCAGAATGCTCTTTGGATAAAATTTATGGATTGTGGATTCACAGTATGATAATTAATGATAATTCAGTAGGAATGTTGAATTTTAGCCAAGCTCTCCTGGTTCTCTTCTCAAACCTCACACTCCCATTTCCAGCTCTGTCTGGATGTCTTATAGGCCTCTCTACCTCAGTGGGTCAGAAACTTGGTTATCTCTCCCTCCGTGTGTTCAGGACCCTTTAACCCATACTCTCCTTCCAGATTCTTTATTTCCCTTACTGACACTGGCATCTTCTGGGCTGGAAGACACTGGGTATCCCCTTTTTTTTTGTTCCTCATGTTCCCCACCCCCTATGTCCCAACCCATAAACTTATAGATCCTTGTTGTGTGTTACTCATGTTCATTTCTATCTTGTCCATTTCTGATCACCACCCCCTAAGCCAAGGCCTCCAAAACCTCTTAAGAGACATGGCAATGGTGCCAATTACGTTATGCCAGATTAATCCTCATTCCAATTGTTCTTTTCACTAGGAATACTTTCTCAATCTGTTTCTGTCCAAATAAAGTTTCTGTCCAAATAAATTCTGCCCTCTTACATCTTTCATATTTTTCTGACATTTGCCTGCTATAGCTCATCATTGCCAGAGGCTTTGACTCCCTCTGTCCTCCACTGGCACCTAATAGACACTCAGGAAATACGTGATTAATTGATTGGGTCATAGTCAACTTTTCTTCTCTGCCCTTTCATATATATATAGAGGGCTGAGACAGGTAGATAGTGCGGTCTATCAGAGGAAGTAATTTCTTGTATTAAGCACAGAGCTTATACTGTGTGATATTATTTATAAGCTCTGGCCATGTCAACTATAAACTTTTCAATGATGTCTTATATTGGAAAAGTCATTACCTACATATCACAGGAAAATAAATTTGTGCATGGTAAAACAAAACAAAAAACCCTTGATTTTTCTTCTTGTCATTTATCATTTAATGAACATATATGGAACACTTAGGATCTACCTGACCAAAACAGACTGCATTCCCTTGGTAAAGCCAGGCATGAAACAGATACTTTTGAAAAGTGGCAGGACATTTGCAGATTCCAGTTCTAGAAGGATATTCTGGCTGCAGTGGGTAGGCCAGCAACAATGAATGTTCAAAGAAGAGCTAATTTGAATAATCTTGATAAATTGATGGTCACCTGGACCTTCAAATTGTGTCAGTGAAAAAATCTACAGGTGAAATTGTGAGATGGTTAGGAGGAAAAATGAGTGGGACTTCTCAGTTGCTTGACTATGGGATGAAGGAGAGATCAGAGTTCAAGATGGCACTCAGTGTTCTCTTTGGGTCCAGGAAGATGGTATAGTGTTTGCCAAGGGAATTATAGGAACAGCCATGAGAAGAACAGCAGGAGCCCAGTTTTAGATGATGTTGAATTTGAGGTACCTGAAAAGCCTTTAAATGAGGATCTCAAAGAGGTAACAATGTATGGTTATGGAGTTGAGAGAAGAAATGCACTAGAAGGAGATATACATAAGGGCCAACATTCATAGAAATTATTGAAGCCATATGCTTCAAAAAATGGACTCCTCACTCAAAAAGGTCTGTAAAGATGAGCCAACCAAGGCTAAATAGAAATATTAAATAAGGGAAAAGCATTAAGCATGTACTGTCAGAGAATTCAGTTGGTAGAGCATGTTTCAAGAAAACAGGTGCTGTCTATAGTGCTAAATACCACTGAGATCACATCAGTTGAGGACAGCATAACGACTTTTATTTAATGGCATGGCCACCTGTGGGGGTCTTGGCGATGAGTCATTTCTGTAGAGTGGTAGAAAAGGAAACCAGATATGGGTTGAGAAATGAGTGGACCTAGCAAATGGAGACCACTTGGAGGTATCTCCTGAAAAATTCCACTGGAAGGAGAGAAGAGAGAGCCCAAGAACTCAGAATGGAAGAAGGTGCCTGGAATTATTCAGGGAAAAAAGTAGATATATCCTGAACTCCGTGTACACCTGTTAGAAACCAAAAATTCTTCAGGAGTACGAGATGGAGTGATCTGTATTGTCATTTAAAACTTTGCCCCGTCAAAACCTCCTCTCTTTTGTATAGTAGTAATCTAACTTTTATGGGAGTAAAGTGGTTGGGAAATAAAAATACAATATCTTCTGAAAATATTATGAGTAGTCAATCGAATCATTAGATGAATGTTGAAAGGTGACATCTAAAGGATGGCTTAAAGCATGTTACCTCTTTATGTGGGTCTCCTTGTAGAAAACCTGCCCTTCTGTTCTGTGATTCTGTTAATGTGATTTACATGGGGAAAATGGATAATCAAGCACAGAAGAATAGCATTTTAGAGCATGTATTAAATTCCAGGTACTTCCTAAGTGTTTTAGATGTAATAGCTCATTTAATTAACAACAATAAAACTATGAAATTCCTCTAAATATTTTTGGAAAAAATAACCAATTTCATTTAAACTCTTCCAGGAAATAGTAAAAAAAGAAGAAAAAAGTGACACTTTTCTACATATTTTATGAAGCCGGTACCATCCTCATTCCAAAACCCAACAAGGTGATACAAGGATGGAAATGACTTACCAGAATCCCTTATGAATATAGATATAAAATTATGAATGATATGTAAGCTTCTACACTGAAAACATAATTGAAAGAGAGAAATAAATGTAGGGTTTCGTGGATTAGAAGATTCAATATATTAAGATGTCAAGAGATTAAATGTAAGCCCAATAAAAATTATGTTTTTTTACAGAAATTAATCAGCTGATTCTAAAATGTACACGGAAATGCAAGAATTCAAGAATAGTCCAAGCAATCTTACAGACGATTAACACTGGCAGATAACAAGATGTATTATAAAGTTATTGTAACTAGACAACGTGCTATAGGCACAAGCATAGACAGATTAAAGAAATAGAAAAGACCGGAAGGACATCCACACATATTTGCTAACCCGTGATCTAATTTATGTCAAAGGTGACATATTTTCAATGTGGGGACAGCATGCAGTGTAGGGGAAAAAACCTTTTGAAAAAAGACCTTGGGGAAAAAAAAAAAAAAGACCTTGGGTCACTTAAGTATCCACATGGATAAAATAAATATTGACGCTTTCCTTATACTCAAAAAAGTCAATTCTGTGTGAATCGCAGATCCAAAGATAGAAGGCACAGTAAAAGATTCCAGGAAAAAGACATAAGAAAAATCTCTTCACATCTATGTGATAATCAAAGATTTCTTATACTGATAGTAGGATGCTAATCATAATGAGAAAATCCTGATAAATTGGAGATCACTAAACTTAATTTTTTCCTCAAAAAGTACGGTTAAGAGAGTAAATGGGTAAGCCACAAAGTGAAAGAAAATATGCAATCTCTGTATATAACCTGACAATTCTGCCCAGAATACATAAAGATTTTCTATGATGAAAAGGCAGAAAACCCAGTAGAAAAGGGGGCAAAAGACTTGAACAGGCACTTCACAGAAGAGCTTATCCAAATGGCTCTCAAACATACAAAAAGGCACTCAGCATCATTAGTCATCAGGCAAATGCAAACTGAAACCACAAAATGGCTAAAATGAACTAGTCAGTAGTAAGTGTTTTTAAGGATGTGGAAAAAAAAATCCTGTATGCCATTAGTGGGTGAGAACATCTATTGGTACAACCACTTTGGAAAACTTTCAGAAAAGTGTTTATTAAAGTTAACCAGCTACATACCCTATGACCCTTCCCCCAGTTCCACTCTTAGGTATATAGCCAACAGAATTGTACATACGTTCGATAAAAGACATGCCCAAGAATACTTAGCGCTACTTGTGTAATTCTAAAAACAGCACAGCATATGTTCATCAGTAGCTGTGATGATCAATTACTTGGGACTCTGCAATGGAATACTCTACAGAAATGAGAGGGAAATGAGAGGGAAATACAGAAATGAGAGGGAAAACTAAGGTTGCATGCAACAACACATATTTTGGAAATAACGTTCAACAAAAAAGCACATGTACATACAATGCAAGATTTCATTTATGTACTGTTCAATACCAGAAGAG